CAGCAGCAGGGATATCTATCTAATCTGATCTAGTTCTGATCTAATCTAATCTAATCTGATCTAATTCTCTCTCTCTCTTTCAAGATCATTCACGTGCCATACTTGATCAGAATATATGCCAGGACCATGGCTAACATCAAATCAATACGGTTAAATGGAACAACAAAGAGAACGGCGGAAGATTGTTTTTAAAAAGCTAAGATTTGCTCACTTAAATCTCAGCTGTAAAAATGACTGGGTGAATTAAGAAATGTTTCTGTCTGCTAAATAATAGAGTTGTTGACCCACAACTAACCGCTTTGGGGAAGGTATTCTATACTGTGATGGCAAAGCTAAAAATACTCTTCTTTCTTATTCATCTCAGGCTGCATCCTCACTGCGGAAATAATCCGGTTTGATACCGCTTTAACTACCACGGCTCCATGCTATGGAGTCGTGGTAGTTTGTTGTGGCACCAGACCTCTTTGATTCTGGCCTCATTCCCACTTACAAATAAATTAGTTTGTGATCCAAATCGATGGATCGATTTGACAGTGGAGTGTGGTTCACACTACATTTGCCCCGATCGCATTTTCTTGTTGTAAAATAACCCCCTTGTCGTTCACATTGACTAATGAATCGATTCAAAATGGACCCTCTTCAGCGGGTGGCTGATGGCTGATCACATCATAGGAAATCGATTCTTATCCACATCCCGTTCACGCTTGCACTGAATCGATTTATTGCAAAAGTCACAGAAAAAATGAACGTCAAAAAGACGCATGTTAAATGGGTCTAGCGCAGGGGGGGCCCTCGCCAAACTGCTTCAGCGATTCGGCTCAAGTGCGAACAAGGGTCATTTAAACCACTTCAAAATGGTTAGCAAACTGGTTTATAACATAGTGGGAATGAGGCATCTGTGTGTGTGTGTGTTTTGTGTGACTTCAAGTAGTTTCCGACTTATGGCAACCCTAAGACAACCCTATCATGGGGGTTTTCTTGGCAAGATTTGTTCTGAGGAGGTTTCTTGTTGCCTTCTCTGAGGCTGAGAGTATGTGACTTGCCAAGGTCATCCAGTGGGTTTCATGGCTGAATGGGAATTGAACCCTGGTCTCCAGAGTCATAACCCAACACTCAAACCCCTATGCCACACTGGCCCTCTGTCTGCCTATATTAATAGAGGTATTTATTTATTTGCAGTTTTTCCACTTTTGCGGGGGTCCTGTGTCCCTAACCCCAACGAATGTGGAGGGTCTACTGTATAGGGTTTTCTTGGCAAGTTTCTTCAGAGGAGGGTTGCCATTGCCATCCTCTGAGGCTAAGAGAGTGTGACTTGTCCAATGGGTTTCCATGGCTGAGCTAGGATTCAAACCCAGGTCTCCCAGGGTCCTAGTCCAATGCTAAAGCCACTCCACCCTGGATGGCTACATCTGTGAAATCAGGCCCATCCGCACCTGCCTCCTCCGAAGATGAGCTCCTCTTGGTAGTGTTGCCGCCAGTCTCCTCCGCGCATAGCAACAACACGGTTCCCGTGGCAACTAGGCTATAAAAAGGATGCTCAACTCGGGAATACAGAAAGGGGGAGAAAGAGAAGTTGAACAGGGAGCATGGCTGGCTCTGGAGGATGAGCCGAGATGCTTTTTTGGGGGCTGATGGCTGGCTTTGGGGTGATTCACAGCCGCCGGGTGGAAGGAGAGCATCTGGAAGATCTTGGCTCTTGGTGGCCTTTTCATCAAGGCATTGGCATCGCTGGAGAAGTTGGCTCCATGGCATGCAACCTCCTTGGCCCAAGAAAAAATAATACGCTCCTCCCTCCATATTCACTGGGGTTAGGGGCACAGGACCCCTGTGAATGTGGAAAAACCGCAAATAACAAACACACTATGTTTTGACCTGAGAGAGCACCTCTCTAGAAATCTCTAGGTCCTCCAGTGCAACTCTGTGGTCAACATCTGCCAGACATTGACCATAGAATTGCACTGGAGGAGCTACAAATGCCTAGTGGAGTGTTCTCTCTAGGAATCTCTAGGTCCTCCAATGCAACTCTGTGGTCAACATCTGCCAGACACTGATCATAGATTTGCGCTGGAGGAGCTACAAATGCCTAGCGGAGTGTCATCTCTAGGAATCTCTAGGTCTAGGAATCTCTAGGTCCTCCAATGCAACTCTATGGTCAACATCTGCCAGACATTGACCCTAGAATTGCGCCGGAGGAGCTACAAATGCCTAGCAGAGTGTCCTCTCTAGGAATCTCTAGGTCTTTCAGGGCGGCTTTTGGTTAAAGTTGACCCTAGAGTTGCGCTGGAGGACTTAGATATTCCTAGAGAGAACATATTAATAGAATCCGTGAATGATCAAATCCGCAAAAGTCAAAGCTGCAAATGTAGAGGGACTCATCTATATGAGATCTAGGGAAGCCTCCTGTGAAGATAGCCCTGCAGGATGGCTATCATGCGTCTCAGGGTGTGGGTTTGCACCAATGAATGCCCAACTTCTTCATTTACTGAGTTTGAAAGTTTTGGGAAAAGTGTCTTTTTGGGAAGTTGGAACCTGGGTTTGTTTGCAGTGGGAGTTATCCCGTTACAGAAGTAGTCGGAGTGCTCTTTGTCGTTTTTGTTGTGTGTCTTCAAGTCATGGGATTTTCGTGGCAAGATTTGTTCAGAGGAGGTTTGCCATTGCCTCCCCCTGAGGCTGAGAGCATGTGATTTCCCTAAGCTCACCCAGTGGGTTTCCCGGTCGAGCAGGAATCGAACCCTGGTCTCCAGACCTGTAGTCCAATAGTCAAACCACTACACTGTGTCAGGTTTGCCTTCCGTAAGTCGGAAATGACTTGTAGGCACACAACAACAACCACAAAGCCTTCCAGTACTCAGCCTTTCCAAGTGCTAACTTTATATAGATTGGGAATGGTTTCACACACAAACACACAAACACAAGCAAACACACACACATGCTTAGGCCCCAATTGCGTCTTATAATTCAATTTATTTTTCATTGAATCTATCAAGCAATGGGTTGATCTTAACTGCCCCATCAGAACTATTGTCAGGGACAACCAATGTGTGTGTGTGTTTAAAAGGATACTTTTCTTTTCCTTTTTTTAAGGTATGTTAAAGGCTTTTGTGTATATATTTAAATTTTTGTCCAAAGTTGTCTTAACTGATCAGTTTAGCACAGTGGTTTGTTGTTGTTGTTGTTGTTGTTGTTGTGTGCCTTCAAGTCGTTTCCGACTTATGGCGACTCTAAGGGGAACCTATCCTGGGCTTTTCTTGGCAAGATTTGTTCAGAGGAGGTTTGCCATGGCCTTCCCCTGAGGCTGAGAGAGTGTGACTTGCCCAAGTGGGTTTCCATGGCCGAGCTGGGATTCGAACCCTGGTCTCCAGAGTCCTAGTCTAGCGCTCAAACTACTAGACCACCCTGGCTCTCTGGAGTACACTACCGGCATCGATTTTGAGGCCAGTGTATCACCTGTGTTAATCTTGGGTCCTAGTGAAAAAGTGTGACACACTTTCCTGGCTGCAGGCCATGTTATTTTAAGGCTGGCATAACAATGCTGGAATATTACAGGTATATCTAGCTGTGTATGACTAATCTGAGCCTGCATGGTGTCAGGTTTGGACTGCGAGAGACTCGGAGTGTATATGCATTGTAGAAATAATGCAATTTGACACCGCTTTAACTGCCGTGGCTCCATTCTACAGAATCCTGGGATTTGTAGTTTTGTGTGGCGCCAGCACTCTTTGCCAGGGAAGGCGAAAGATCCTGTAAAACGGCAAATCCCAAGATTCCATAGGAAGGCGCTGCAGCACTTAAAGTGGTGTCAAACTGCATTATTTCTACAGTGTAGATGCACCCTCGGTGCATTATTTGGAGCCCCACTCAGCTGTGGAAACTGACTGGGTGACCTCTGTTGCAGAGAAAGGTAATGCCAAACCTCCTTTGAATAAATCTTGCCACAAAAACCCTTGGATATAGGTATATTGCTAAATACTGTATACCAATAAGCACCCCTTAGTAAATTAGTCCCCTATTGGTAATATATCAGGGATGGGGGGGACATGGGACCCTCAAAAACTTGTTGGATTGCAGCTTCCATTGTCCCCCACCACTAGCTATGCTGCTTAGGGTGTTTCTGGGAGTTGTAGGTTTTTTTAAAAGTAATGTTACCCAGCTCTGGAAATAAATAGCCTCATCTCTGTGTGGGAAATGCTCAAATATCTCTTTTTTTCACACTGTGGGGGAACTCTTTGACCTAGATGGATAGCCTTGCTGTAGCTATTATGAAGACTTCAATAAGTAACCGCAGCAAAGGCACTGAATGCACAGGTCTTTTAACGTTTTCTTTTTTGCAATCTCGCCTTAAATCAATCCAAAAATAGGTCCTCAGATATAGATGACAAACCTACCCTTTTTTTTTTTTTTTTTTTTTAAAAAATTCTCTTTCCTATCCTCACTCTCCGGTGCCCTCTGAAATGGCACTGCTGGAATTGGATTTTGAAATGAAATGAAAGTAAGAGTTTTCAGATAATTAAAGTTTTTTCATCATTAGGAAACTACAATAAGGTATACTGAGGTGGAGACAGCGGTAGGAAGAAGGCAAGCTAGAAATAAAAAAAATCCTTTCTTCTTACTCTTTCTCTTCTCTTCCTTTCTCTTCTTTTTCTTTTCTTCTGCTTTCTTTCTTTCTTTCTTTCCTCTCTTTCTCCTCCTTCTCCTTCTCCTTCTCCTTCTCCTTCTTTCCTTTCCTTCTTCTCCTTCTCCTTCTTTCCTTTCCTTCTTCTTCTTCTTCTTCTTCTTCTTCTTCTTTCATTCCTTCCTTCCTTCCTTCTTTTTTTTATTTTTGTCTCCCTCTTTTCTTTGTCTCTTTCTCCTCACTTCTTCTACCCTTTCTCTCTCTCTCTCTCTGTCTCTCTCTCTGTCTCTCTCATGCTCCCTCCTCTCTCTCAATCAAAAAACCTCATTAATAAATCTATTATTATTATTATTATTATTATTATTATTATTATTATTATTAACATTTATTTATAAAGTGCTGTAGGTACATACAATCAATTAAAAAATAAAATAAAATAAAGACCTGCTGGTGGTGTCCATTCTGCACAGAACAATAGAGATTAATACATATATGAAATTGGAATCAATCATTAATTCTGTAGCTTAATCAAAGATGGGCTTAATCTTAAAGGGCCGAGGGACTTCAGCTCCCAGAATCCCATCTCCTTCTCCTTCTATTGCCTTCTACCTTTCCCAGCATTATTGCCTTTTCTAATGATGCCTTCTCATGATCTGGCCAGACAACGACAACTTCAAATTGATCACCTTGACTTCCAAGGAGATTTCAGTCTTGATCTGTTTGAGGACCCATTTGTTAGTCTTTTTGGCTGTTCATGGTATCCCCGGCACTCTTCTCCAGCACCACTTCTCAAATGAGTCGGTTTTCTTCTTATCTGCTTTCTTCACTGCCCAGCTCTAACATCCATACATGGTGATGGGGAATACAATGGCTTGGACGATCCTCACTTTAGTACTCAGTTGTTTATCTTTACACTTTAGGATCTTTCCTAGTTTTTTCACGGCTGCCTTAGGTTTTGTGGGGGAAAAGGAAAAGGACAACAAAAAACCCAGGCAGCTTGTTGTGTCAGAGATTTCTCCCTCAAGAGCATCTGTGCTTGTGAGGTTCCTGGCAGTTTGACTTTGGTAGGAGTGGGGAGGGCAAATGGCTTTTCCCGGAGACTATTTACTGCTGAAAGAGGTGTTCCCTTATGTATGTCCTAAACTGGTGGAAATGTTCTTTTCTATGCAATAGGCGGCCATGTGCTATGCAATAGGTGGCCACTTTCCCTTGGCCCCCTTGCCATCCATTGCCAGGTCTGTGTGAAATGGTGCCCATTTGCAAAATGTCATGGCTTGAATCTAAATTCTCAACCAGGACATAAAAGTGACAGAGAAATGTATTTGGGGAGGGATGGTCAAAATAAAGGCATTGCCTTTCCCCAATAAAAATTCTGTGTGTCCCCCCCTCCCCATGAAATGTTCCTTTGGTCCCCAAGTTTCTAACATTACAGTCTCTTAAAACTTCAGTTGACCATTTAGAAACACAGTTTAGGCATCCATCAAAAAGAGCTGGCAAAGTGATTAAAGGAGTGCAAAACACACTGAATGTGAGTGTACTAGGTGTGAACAATTTCCAGTGTCTCACCCTCTACAATGCTAAAAATTTGGGAAGTGAAGGAAAGTTTAATGGAAGGGATTCTTATTTAAGGGGGAAATGCCCGCATCTTGCCCCCTTGTAGTTACACCCTGTGTGTGTGTGTGTGTATGTGTGCACTTACACACTTTATAACACACACACACACACCATTTGTATTTCTGTCTATTCCAGAGATGGGCAGGAAAAACAACACGTCCGAATTGGTTGGTACAGCTCTGGATGATCTGCAATAGATCACAATTTTTCCCCTGTTCTACTCTCTGTTACTTAAAAGCAGCAATAACAAAATGTTCTCCCAGCCTGCCCACCCGCCAAATAAATTTGGCCGCTGAAATGCCGATGGCTCAGGGTAACCAGGAATGGATTTGAGTGTAGAAGGCCTATAAGCTCAATTTTGTATTCTGGTACAGACAACATGTTTCTAGCACTGGATCTCCAGTTCCAAAGGACTGTCTTTTGCACCTGGCCCTTCTGATTTTAGTGAAACGGCAAGCAATTTTTGAAAAGCTTGAAGGATACATCTGACTGTCTTGACTGACTAGGACAGCTTAGAAAAGTTCCTTTCTTCTGGCGAACAATAGTCAGAATTCTGTTGGTGCCACATATGAGAGCTATACCTTTTCTGTGCAATCATTGTGAGAAGAGATAGGCAACATTTTCCAGTTCAGAGCATCCTATTTCTCCAATATCTTCTTTACCGCAATAGATCACAATTTTCCCCCTGTTCTACTCTCTGTTATTTAAAAGCAGCAATAACAAAATTCCCTATCACTGAGCCAGGGAAGTTAAAGTGGTCTCAAACTGGATTACCTTATTTTCCTGCGTATAAGACTACTTTTTAACCTGCAAAATCTGTGGCTAAAGTGGGGGGGTCGTCTTATACGCCGGATATAAGGATAATGAGGATAGAGGTGCTAAAACTCTATATTTTGACTGGGAAAATGGGGGGTCGTCTTATACGTGGGTCGTCTTATGCGCCGGAAAATATGGTATTTCTGCAGTCTGTTTTGGCCCTTAGTCTCAAACATACTGCAAGATCCCTTTGCATCCTGATTTTCCAGATTAACACAACCATGTCTTTGAATTCTACTGCTGATGTGAGATAGTTCTAGCTGGAGATGCCAGTCCAACAAGCCTTGATCAGGGGATTTCTTCTTAATGTGTGCAAACTACGTGTTTGGCTGCGGGGTGACTGGAGCGCTTCCTTAGTAAAAGAATAAGGCTTTTCCAAAACAGAGACTGGCTTCCCAGATGACCAGTGGTTTCTGCAAGCACAACTTCAGGCAGCTAGAATCTGGGTCTCACCCATCCTGTTTTTCTTATTGGTCTTGGAGGGATTCCCCCATCCTGCCTGGATTAATGAGGTCTCTGGATTTAATGAGGCCCTCCGTCAGCACTTCTGAGGCTGACAAAGCAAAACGGCTGGGAAACCACACAACCAGCAACTGACAGCTCTGGCCTGTGGCATTTCAGTGCAGCTTTTCTCCTGTCAAGCCGACAGCAAGATTTGGAGGAAGAACTGCAGCCGTCAGGCGAGAATCATAAACCATGAATAAAACATCATAAAATAAGGGGGGGGGGGATTGCAATGCACAGTAAAAAGCAGCAGTCATAAGTAAAGCAGCAAAAGTCAGTGTCCAAAAACGAGAACAAAAGGGATGATGCTGGCTGGGGGATTGTGGGAGTCATAGTGCACACAAAAAAGGAAACTTTTGTAAGCGCTGGATAGCCTTAATTCACATCTGGAAGACAGAAAGGGAATTATTGAAGGTTCGGGGGAATGGTATTCCCAAATTGTAGAGCTACAACAGAAAAAATGTTGTGTGTGTGTGTGTGTGTGTGTGTGTGTGCATGTGTGCTTTGCTGGTTAAGATGGAATATAGTGGGGAGGATCTCTTTTTGCAGGCAGGATCCTCCTCCTCCTTCTGGCCATGATGTGGGTATAGGGAGATTTGCAAAGTCCAGGAAATTTAAAATCCATTTGCATCTCAACAGGGACCCCTCTTTTGCAACCCAATATGTCTCCATTCCATTGGGACCACCGGCCTCATACACATATAAACATTATTCCTAAAAAACAACAAAACAAAACTAAGACTTTTTATTCTTGTCTTACTGTTGTATCGCACATTTTACACAATCTTTCTTTTCCGCCTTATTTTAACATACTCTATTTCTTTCCTCATACATTATACATTCAACCTTCCCCTA